TAAGAAAAAATAGTAATGGTTGTTGTATATGCAATTCTTAGCAACAATGCTAATAAACTGTTTCTTGACATTTTTGTAATTTACAGGATTTGAACTAGATTTTACGTGTACTTTTAATACATTTTTTTCGTAAAATGAACTTGTTCAAATAAGGAAATAATTAAAACAATTTTGTTTTAATTTATGCCGTAGTTATTCGTATTACCTATTTTGCAAAGCATTAAATAAAAGCCGAGATAAGTAGGATAAATAATATTTTATGTGTATATAGTGCTGATCTGTTACGCAATTAATATGCGTATTTTTTTTAATTAAAATTTTTTCAGCATACAAATATGTGAAAAAATATAAATACTAGTTCGATGAATTTATTTTTAAATATACTTTTTAAATAAGGAAATGATTAATTCTTATTTGACTTAATTTATGCTATCTTCACCGCAGTCATTCGTATTATCTATTTTACAAAACATCAAACTGTATATAATAAGGTTTATTTTAAAAATTTTTTTTTATATGCACTATTTCTACAAAGTAAAGCTCTGTGAATTACTGTATATAATCAAAATTTAATGTTTAATTCTTCGCTGGTTTTTATTATTTGGCTATTTAATCGACAAAAGCCTGTATATTATTCCTGATAAAGAAAAAGAAAATCTGCTACTGTTAACAAAAATAATATGGCCATAAATAAAATTTTTGGCATATTATTGCTTGTAGAACCTTTTGTTATATTTTTTTATTAGGTGTAAATAATATCTTTCGCTCTTCCTACATAAAAATATCATGCTGATTTATAATCAATTATATAACAGGGTCAAGAAGTCAAATTATTTATATTTATACATAAAATCTGCTACTACGGTTCTTTGCATAATATTGCTTATAGAACTTTTTGTTATATTTTTAATTCGGGTGTAAGTAATATCTTTCGCTCTTCCTACATAAAAATCTCATGCTGATTTATAACAATTATTTAACAGGGTCAAGAAGTTACAACATTCATATTTATACATTGAGCCTTACGAGCCAGTTGTACATGGAACTTTTGAAAACGACCTCTCAATTTTTTCGTATATATGTAACTTAATTTATGATTTTTTTGCCATATTTACGAGTGGAAGTAGCGGATTTGGAAGTCTATATAATGATAAATTTCCAAGTCCATATTAATTAATGTTTGTTAAAATAGATTTTTAATTTATAATTTATTATTGAAATTGTATTAAAAATAAAGTCCGTATTTTTCATGCTTTTAAGAGCGAATTAAATTATTTTTATCGTTATGGTGCAAGTAATCTATAATCACCATTTTAAATCGCTATCGCTATAGCTTTTTACACAAAAGGCTTTTGAAAAATTTCACGTGATTAGCAATTATAGATTACTTGCGCTATAAGATTTCAGATCATTATTTATTGAGTTGAATGAAGAAACTTGTAATTCGAGCAGTTTATTATTTTTTAACAATTTGATCGAAGCAGAAAAAAGATTTGAATACATATCAAGCTATTGGTGATATATCATTAGTTTAAAGAGATATTTATCTTCAATTTTCTAGTTAGTTTATTGTCGAATAATATAAAATTTTAAATAAAAAATATTTTATTAATAAATTGATTTTTTTTTCGTTATGAATGGGATGAACCAGAGTTAAAAATTGTAAAATTTCACATATTAGTGGGTGGAATTTGACAGTAAGCCTTGCAGCAATTCTTCTTATAGAGGTTTTAATTATTTATGGATAAGCAGACTTTATTTTCTCACAAACTTGTATTAATTTACGGTTAATTTAATAGTATCAAAAAATCTTAACATTCATATTTGTACATTGAGCCTTATAAGCCAATTGTGCATGGAACTTTTGGAGTCGACCAATCTGAACCTTGGGATGTATTGATAAAACAAATTATAATTATAAAAGATTTAATTGCTGAAATAATAGTTGGAAGCCGTGGATTCAGTCATTCAGATTATAATGGTTTAGTACCAATATAAACAATAGAATTTAAATCTTTTATGCTTTTCAGCAAATTTATTTCATTCAAAATTCAAAGTTGGGAATGTTTGCCATATATTTAATAATTGTATTATGAAAGAAACTCAGTAAATAAACAAGTCATCCGAGTATAATCTTCAAGTGTTATTTAATAGATCAGATAAATATTTCTAATTATTGTGTATTTGAATATGTACTTTTCAAATAAGGGATAATTAATTTAATTAATACCATCTTCGCCATCTTCGCTGTGGATATTCATATTACCTATTTTACAAAATAAAATGAAACTCTGAGTTCTGTATGAATATAGAATTTATAATATAAATGCTGATCTGTTACTCAATTGTACGTGATCTGTTTTAAAATATATAAAGGATATGATGTAATTTTTTTAGAATTTTTGTTATTTAAAAATATTGAAAATGATTGCTTATAAGAAATTAGTTTCTTTAATATTTTTTTTGTCATCATATATTGTTTGCATTGCTGAATATGCAAGAAAAACTTTCGTAAAATTGTATACTTTCCGATAGATTCTTATTGTTATATTATTTGTTGAGATTACAATAATTTTAATAACCTGGTTGTATGTAAATTTTTGGCTTTCTCTAGCAGGTGCATAGAAGTTCGACTGATTTTTTTTATCGAATTTTTATAGGTCAATAAGTCAAAGCATTCATATTTTCGATCCTTATCAGATAGAGGTGCGATCCGTAAACTAGTAGTTAATATAAATAAACTGTAGTTTAGTGTAAACTGTAGTTTTAAAATAAACTACAGTTTATTTATATGTACTGTAATTCACAGTTCACATCTCTAGATTCGGACATAAAGATCATTATGGGTTTGTGCTAAATTAAATATTTATCTGACTTTTCATGTTTTCTTGCGAATAGTTTATAGTTTAAACACTGTATTTTATATTGACAATTTTTGGAATATAAATTTATAAAGGTCAATAAAATTTTAGCAATATGATTAGTAAACTAGTTAATATAAATTGTAAACTATAAATTGCAAAAAAAAAAATTCTAATATTACATGAAATGATATAGTCACAAGTTTATTATATTTATCATTTAACTAATCTGGTAGGCTCTTTTTAACTCTTGTAAATGGAAAATCTAAATTTGGCCAAGATTTTAAATTAGGCAAAATTGAGATTATGCAAAACTTCATTGCATGACATAAGCCTATTTAATGATTTTCACTAATTTTTCAAAAAAATTTCTGACGAATTCTCTTAAATTTATACCTATTATAAGGTTAGTGTTTCATTATTGTTTCTAAAACTGCTTAAAAGTCTAATTTATTTTATACTACATAAGGTCGACATGAGCGACAATAAAATCTTTAATGAAGAATTTGAAGGAGATAAAAGCTTCACAGTGTATATATAGTTAAGGAGTTTATAAGGTCTACAAAGTAAATTGAATTTAATCCTGACCTTTTTTTTAGGGAAAATAAAGTAAAAAAGTAGACATTTGTAAAACATCAACAGAACTTTATTTGAAACGAATTCGTGGTTTAATTCTACCACTTAAACCTAACTTTCTGCCATTTAATTATAATTTGTCGACTTTGCCAAATTTTAAAGCTAAATATAATGATAAAACTTGGCATGAATATCTTAAAAATGTGAATCAAATTTGTAAACAAACAAAAATAGATTCGAATTGGCTAGAAATTTTTTTTGTTTACAATTATGCAAATGCAATAATTCAAAAAACTAAAGACAAAACATTCATATTTGATACTGACAGAGAAAAGAACCAAATTACAATATTTAAAGATTCTGTTCCAGTTTTTGCATTACAAGAACAAGCCAAAAGAACTGAATTATAGCGAAAAAAGAATTGTTTTTTTTCGTTGAAAAATTTGATCGAATCAGCTGAAAATGAAAAGATTTCACATGAAGCAGTACTTCAAAAATTAAGTGATGTTGGCTTTACAATTCATTATTTGTCAAGAGTAAAAGATACAATGTTCAAAGAAGTAGTCAATGCATTATTAGAAGAAATTAAGAAAAGTAAGAGTTAAACTTAGGATTGTTCAATATTTAAAATTTAAATATGTTTTATGATAATAAGGTTATTTACGCATAAGGTTATTTCTAATTCAATTAAAAAAATTTTTTAATTATTTTTAATAGTTTAGTTTATGATAACAATAATAAGTTTAGTTATAATATTAAGATTATTATAACATGTTAAAAATTTTTTTCTAAATTTAATTATTTTTAATAACTTTTTGGATCAAATATGATAATTTTAGAATCAATAAAATTTTTACTAATTACGCTTTAAGTCGCCAGAATTATATCAAGTAGTGATGTGAACTGAACATTGAACAGATAATATAAATAATCCACAAATTATTTTAAACCGGTGAATATACATATATAGATTTAAAGTAATACTAGATTATTTATATTCTTTATTATTTACGGTTCGTATCACTAATATTAAGAAATCAAACAGTTAAACCGAAATTTAAAATCAGTTAATTTTCATCACTAAACTTTCAATGTTAGATCTTGAACC